GCGTGGTTTTTTTTTAGTTGCAAAATCCACTTGAACATGACGCTGCTTTTTTCGAAGTTTCTCAAGAACCATTCGAGCCACAGAATTCGTTTTGGAATTGTTGGATAGAGAATTGAAAAGTCGATTCAGTCGTAACAACGTGAGTGAGGAAATTCGAGTAGTTTTGGCACAGAAAGCGAAATTTGAATATCAGACACTTCGGTGCAAGATTTTCCATGTTTTCCGTCCCGTTTTTGCTCAATTCTCGGAGACACACATATCATTCGAGAGATAACTAAATTGCCTTTTTTCAAAGTTTCTCAAGAACCATTCCAACCCAACCAAGAATTCCCAACCAAGAATGGGAGGGTCATGACGCCCTTGCTCAGAAAACTCAGAAGTAGACCCATTTTGCTCTATTAAAGGCTCAAAGACTATATAATGCACTAGAGGAGCTTCAAGTCTAATACGAGGAAAACAATCTAGTTTCTCACATTTTTATGCTCTTTTGGCCATAGTTTCTTGGTCGTTGTCCCTGCGAGTATTTTCAGCTAAAAGCAAATATTTTCGCATGTTCAGTAAATGAATTATATGGTTCCAACACAGGCAAGCAACCGTAACAGCCGAATCTCCAGTGGTGGAGTGTCTGACGCTGACTAGAAAAAATTTCATCGACCATTTCGGCGATGTTCAAATTCCCACCATCCAAGTGAAAACGCCCAGTCTGAAAGACGTTCCCTCGGAGTACCAGGATATGGTGCTTGACGATTTGAAGATAATCCGCACTTTAGGAGTGGGCGGGTAAGCGGCTGATTTACACGTTTTTGCGGGTAATTGTTCGGTTGCAGGTTCGGTAGGGTGGAACTAGTCCAGCATAAAAAGCGCAAAAGTCTAGTCTTCGCCTTGAAGTACCAAAAGAAGATAGATATCGTCTACCAGAACCTGCAGGAGCACGTTCATAACGAGAAGATTATCCAGATGAATTGTAACTCGCCGTTTGTAGTCCGAATGCATCGCACCTTCAGAGATAACAAGTGAGAAATTACGATTTCATGGAATAATTCATAAAAACTAGCAAAGCAACTTTATTTGTGTACAGATATGTGTACTTCTTAATGGAAGCCTGCTTGGGAGGCGACTTGTTCACGCTTTTGCACAATCAGAAGCCGAAACGGTTCGACCAGGACAACGCGCGTTTCCTATCGGCTTGCGTTCTTGAAGCTCTCGAACACCTTCACAGGTAATTTTTCCCATAGAAGATTTTGAAACTTTTACAGTTCTATTGTTTATCAGTAAAGGCGTGGTGTTCCGAGACTTGAAACCGGAGAATCTGATGGTGGACCTGACCGGCTACTTAAAATTGACCGATTTTGGATTCGCAAAAAAAATGCCGAACAGAGGAAAAACCTACACATTCGCCGGGACGCCTGAGTATGTGGCGCCGGAAATTGTGCTCAACCGAGGCCATGATAGGGCTGTGGATTACTGGGCTTTCGGCGTGATTCTCTTCGAGCTCTTAACTGGTAAATAGTCCAAGTGGCTGAACTTCTCGCATTCCTTGGTTTCAAATTTTCGCAGGGAAAACTCCATTTTGCACAAACGATGGGACCAACATGCGAACATACAACAAAATCCTGAACGGCATCGATAACATTACGTTTCCCTCTTATGTTAGCTTGAAAGCGAAGAATTTGATCGAGAAACTGTGCAGACCAATGGCAACAGACCGGATTGGCATGCAAAAAGGTGGCTTTGCCGATATAAAAAATCACAAGTTTTATCAAGGTAAATACCCCACATTAAACAGTCTAACACATAAAACTTCGCTGTATTTCTGCAGGATTTGATTGGGAGAAATTCCGTCAGCATCAGATTCCCTCCCCGTATAAGATGAAAGCGAGGGATTTGACCGATAAGAGCAACTGTGACGTGTTCAAACAGGATAAAACATATCCTCCCGACGAGACCTCCGGATGGGATAACGACTTTTAAGGACACTTGATCAAGGGTCGCAACTTCAACCCTAACTAAGTTTCTAATATATGTAATTTCTCTTCAAATACTTAGTCGACCTTGGAATAAACCCGAGCAGACTGCACAGACCGACAACTAAGCATAGGTGCCTTCGGCATCCAACAGATCCATTAAGTTATTACCGACAAAACGTTTTTAAGTTTATATCATCAATAAAATTATTAAACTTGTCTCTGAACTTATTTTGACCCATCCGATAGTTCAAAGTGCTAATATTGAAATAATCAATTAAAAAGTGCGGCTGAAAACATTAGAAATCCTCTGTCCGTATTTCCACATAAACGCATAAATGAAAGAAAAGTGTTGTTTAAATAATACTATTACTTCACTGCTACAGTATAATATTACATAATTTCGAATCATAAGTAGCACATTACGTGGAACGAATCTAAACCAAATAAAATGTCGTAAATCAGTTGAACTAACAGTGAAAATCAGTCGATTTAAACCTACATTTAATCACGCAAAACATCCTTAGACCTAAACGGAGATATACCAAATATCCATACATAAATTTTTGAGTCACGTTTCCGCTATAGTCCATTTACAGAACAAACTAGAAATTGAAAATTATTATTAAAAAAATATACGCCTGTTGACGAACAGCACAATGGTTTAAATAATATGAAGACGAACAAATTAACTGATAAAATGGTTTTTCAGATATTTCATCATGCCGAAGGTCCGGAAGCGTTTGGTTCCGATCACCTTCATCAAGGCATCGTCGCAAATCGCAAACTGTTTGTTTTTAGGGTCGTACATGTTCTTTTCTTTGATAATAGACCAAATCTTTTTGACGACTTCATGTCGAGCCATCGTGTCAGCTCCCACAACAGCAGCCAATTCTGGAGACAGTTGGAGAGCCTTGGTGTATCCTCCTCCTCCTCTTTTGGCGCCCGGCTATTAAAAGTGAACATTTAGAATGTGTTTTAAGCGCTAAAACAACTAAGTACTTACTTTGGCACCTCCCTTCTTCTTGCCCCAGTCCTCATCTGAATCGGACTCGGAGCCCTTCTTCTTCTTAGGGGGCAACTTACGGGTTTTAGCTGGTTTGGCTGCTTTCTTGGGCGAATATTCCTCTTCTGATTCGCCGTCACTGCCTTCGCTGGCCGAGTCATCGGAAGACTTCTTCGCTTTTTTAGCTGCTGGTTTTTTGCCTGTAGAGCCTCGCTTCTTCTTCTTATCCGCTTCAGAGTCCTCCTCATCGTCTTCTTCCTCTTCTTCGTCCTCTTCCTCCTCCTCTTCGTCTTCGTCCTCTCCACCTTCTTCRTCAGACTCGTCCTTCTTGCCCTTCTTCTTTCCRCCGGTGGCCTTCTTGGAACTGACGAACTTCATGACGAGGTCATCGATTTCCTTCTTGCGCGATTGAAGTTTYACATCGAGTTTCTCTTCAAGCTCCTGGCGCACCTTCTTGGCGGAGGTGGAKGCCAAGTCCGCATCCTTGAGGATGGCTATTCAATAGGRAAAACACGATTTAGAGTTTAAYGAAAAACCTACTGTTAAACGCATGCAAAGCCAAAACAATATTATAGTTTATTGAAGAAGCTCTGAATTAATTCGTTATAAACACAGTTCAGTACCAGTGTGATTTAAAAAGTAGCCTGTTCAATTCGCCAAGTGCTGTAGATATACGTAAGTGAAGATAAAAAAAACAACTTTTTATTGTGATATTTCAATAATTAAATTAATATCCGATACATGAACAGTGACGCACTGGATACCAGATTAAAAAATCTGGGAAATGAGCTAAACAGGGCGTTCAGAAACTGTAATGCAATAATTAACCTAACAAGTCCAGATATTTATCTGCCAACTTATGGCAAAAGGGCATCTTTAGCTCAATATTGAAGAAAGTTCGAACCGAATTTTGGAACACAAGGCTTTTGAAAGAGGGCAATTTAAGAGCTGTTTTGTCATGGACGGCTTTTCTCAGTAATTCAATTTACATCGCATGGATGAGTCAAACTTATGCCTGTTCGACGTCATAAAGACGCAACATTGGACGTTTGATGACGCTTATCTCACGTTTAGTGTACATCGGTTGGTTACCTTGACGACGGCTGGTCAAGACAAAAGGACACTGAATAATCCAAAATGGAGTTAATATACGGAGTGTCCCAATAAAAATCAATGACTACAACAAGAAAAACGCAGATTTGCAAACGCATCCAATCGATCGATGGATAATGGCTCAGTGAAGAGCGTGAACAAACATTAATGAAGGCGGAATATATCCTAAAAATCAGCATAAGTAATCCAGGAATTAAAGAGAAGGAAAACAATCAACAAAATATATTTTTAGATTACAAGTTCAGTATTACATGGAACATATTGCGCGCGAAAATGCACAACAAATAAACGACTTTATGCTTTACGAGACAAGGAATGGATTTGCTTTTCGCAACAAAGCGGTTCTTATAGTCAATAAGCTGCTTTATGTTAAGTTGCCAGCGATCGAGGCATTGATAAAATGTGTTCTCTGATTAATCAGCTACAAAATGATGTGAAACTCAGTCCTCATTGACGGTGTGAAAGATGGAAAATTGGAGAAAACTATGGAGGCGACCTACGCCATCGTTACCCAGGCCGACCAGGAGAGGCGTGATCGAAGTTTCATGAAAAAATCATGAAATAAGCTAAAAACGCGAGAGAGAAGGTCCTACGAAAATCAAAATTAAAATTCTACACCGATTTGGTTCTAGCGAAAATCGTGTAGAGTGTGGTCTTTCAGAGAAAAATCCAATTGAAAGTACGCACAAATTGTTGCCTATCGCCATAGCGTCATTCGGCCATTGTATACAAACGGTTCCTGATACATTAATCGCCAAGAGTAAAGTGCCCGATTTTAACTGTTAAGCGGCAAAAATCGCCAGACAAAAATTATGCAGAAAAAAATTAGAACCTTAGTTTTCTATGTTTCGCCACTTCTAGCATTGAAAACCAATAAAAAACACCACTTACCGGCAATTTCCTTACGAAGATCTTCTTTGGATATATCAGCCATGATGCACAGAGAGAGACAAGTGTTGATTCGAACGAGACAGCAAGAGATTGGGCCGAGTGCACGAATCGGCTAATCTCGAACWCAACCCCATGTTGTCAGACTAGCGCAAAAGTACCCGAAACTGGGACTAAASTCAWCWTAAATGGCAGGTTTTAAGAAAAATTWAACAATCGACAAACGGGCAGCAATTGAGAAATGCGTGCTTTTCCAACTGGACTGGTATTCCACATGTTTATTCCTGAYAGTTTCRCAGTTTTATTGCCTGAACTGTCCCGGATAAGCTGGRTGCCAGCAATCTGGCACCCGGCAGTTCAGTTCGGCACCCCTGCCCTCTATTGGCGGAAGTRTGTTTTACGCRCTTATCAGAAAACTATRTTTGCACCAATGTTTGTATTGTATCRCCAAGCAACCGCCCCACAGGTGTCACAATAGTAGAGTAGGATTAATCCGGTTTCTACAGGCAGATTCTTGACAAAAATCTACAGAGTTTTTCAGCYAAATAATTMAAAGTTTTTTTTATTAASATTATCGTCCATGAAGCTTATGGAGTTATGGCGCTTTTTGAACACACAGTTGAAGAGTTTTCAGGTATGTCTGTTTATTAATGGCGAATGAGTCAACTTTTTGTTTATGGGGCTTATATTTCATACATTGTCGACTTTTTTAAATTTATATGTGGAGACTCCATGGTTTTCTTAAAACCGGAGTTTTCCCGTATCTTTTTCCCGCCCATTTGGGTCAATTTAGCGAAAATCCCAGTTTCTCAGAACATCCTGAGGTTTGCTGTCATAACTTTAAGTACAAGCGTCCATTAATAAGGAACAAAAGTGAAGTATTTTATCATTAAAGTACGCTTCAAAGTTTAATTCTTCAACTTTCTTCTGGACTTGAAGTAGTAATGAGCAGACTGCTCTTGATCTTGGTCTTAGACTTCTAAGAAAGCAAGACTAAGACCTAGACTAAGAGACTTTGCAAGAGTTTTGCGAGACTCTCGCAAGACTCTTGGTACGCCGTATTTAAGAGAAAGACTCTTGCTGCAAGAGCAAGGGGAAGATTTAACATGCAAGTCCAAGACTCTGTACAAGGGCGGATCCAGGGGGGACCATGACTCCCATGACCCCCCCTGGATCCCCCATTGTAGAGAAGTGTTGCGATAATTGAGCGCAATATCAATTTTGCGCAGATGTTCCCATTTAATTGAAAAAAACCGAGCAAACCAATAACTTATCATTCCTTTTCGCACAACCCCTGTAAATGTAGTTCCGCTCTTGTCGGACACTTCCCAGGAATATTTGCAAACGGTCAGGAACAGCAATGGAAAAAGAGAAAAACCATGCAAAGATTACCTTTTTGTTTGCGCTAAACTGCAGACAGAAACAGATTTTCCATTACGGCGTTCTCCATATGACACCTTGCCGTTCTCTGCAGACTTCCCTCGAACTCGTACGCGTTTCCTTTTATTTCTTTGGTGTTTTCTTTTTGGTTCCTAGTATCGGCAGGATTAATTTTAATTTTTTTGCTCTACAGTTCTGGTGTTTTTGCCAATAGAAAAATAACCGGCAAAAATTCAAAGGCAAACATTTGTTTTTTCAACCAAATCTTGAGAATTTATCGCTTCATGCCGTTGTTCTTATTCAGCCATCGTTACTTATCTTTGGCCGCCGTTTTTTCAGTTTCATTTCAAAGGCGCTGTTGATTTCGTGAAATCTATAACATTTTTTGCTGCTGAAATTCGTTGGATTTTTGCCTGTGATTGCAACACCCATTGATTCAATATGCATCCATATAGGCATTTTATTGCAATGTGATCTAAAGAATCGAAAACAAGACAAATTCTGGTAGTGTTTCAGCAACAAAATCAGTCATCATTGGCAATGGCGCCCCTTATCTAATTTGTTTTGCGAATATCCACTTCCATCATTTCCACCTGTTTTTTTCTTCTGCCTTCACCTGATGCGGGAATGGAAACGTCTAGAATGCATATCAATTCATTTTATTTTCGCTGGGAACCGTACTCGAATTAATCCATAACGGCCACGAGTGGGTGGAATGCGAGATTAAATCCAACCAATCAATATCATAAGTCAAAGAAAAATTGTAGAGGCATCAAATTAAACTCGTACATGATTTAGAAACATCGGCAACCTGGACGAATGGGGTGGGTGTCAAGTGGAGGAATACGGGTAATTGAAAATCTGTTGCTGCCACTATCTGGGAGAATTTGACGGGGAAACTAAAACAACGCAAGAGTGGAAAACGGACGTTCGGCTTTCTGAAGCCGGTTCGAGTGTTTTTTCTCCTGTTTTAGGTTGCTTTCGTTTATGCTCGATTCTGATTTTTTACAGGGATTGAAACAGGAAAAAATACTGATTTAATACTTATATTGCGCCAAAGACATCTTGAGTTTTTGTTCTTGCAGTAAAAATCTAGTAAATACGTACAAATAAAACTACGAGATGTTTTCACGTTTTTTATTCTGAATTCAGGATGATTAAGCAGGTCTAGATCTATCAGCACGCTAGAATCTTATTTTTTTCGGAATGCTTTCTTCTCCAAAGGAACACAAATTAATGTTTGACCGACTGGAGAAAGGAATCCAGCCGACTTCACCACTTGTATTTCGGTTTTCAAAAGGTCGTTCAAGCTGACTAAGTACATAAAATTCGCCGCAAAATTACCGCATAGCTGAAATATTCCAACAGCCTTGGCGAATTTTTTCTCAATCTATAGTCCGATTTGAACAGTTTTTTATCGAATTATGGTTAATTTTTTATAAGTTAGGAAAAAAAATTAAATACGCATATTGTACAGGATATTTAAATACTGTTATGATTTCTTGGTCAACATTTGAGCCATTCGAGAAATATATATTTTTTCTGACCGATCACATTTTTCGCACGAAATTTATTTAAACTTTCTTTTACATTTTGAAGAAGGCTCTCTAAACAACATTTTATTAGCTAACAAACGTAAATCTGTCAACTTCTCTATATTTTGATTCGTACGTAACTCCATAAAGGAAATGAACAGAAAAACAATACCATTAGGGGTAAAAACAATTAAAAGAAAATAAATACTTTATCTCTACCTTATCATTTTTGCCAGAAGTTTTCTTCGCAAATTAAGGATCAGTTTGTGTAAATTTTGCAATAAAAAATTGATATATCTCGAATGGCTCAGGATAAACAGACGATCGAAGATCCAAACCGCTCAGAAGACATGAGGCTATAACAACGTATACTTCTTTAGTCTGGGATACCCCATGTTGCCCACAGAAAGATTTGAGTTTGTCCGAGAAACATAACAGTATTTAAACACCCTGTACAATTCGTTTATTTGCTGTTTTTGCTTATGTTATAACTTAAATTGTGTCCATGAATTCGATGGAAAAATTGTTCAAATCAGATTAGTGATTGAGAAAATATTAATATTCAAAAGTTAGGGAGTATTTAAGCTATACGGTAAATTTACAGCGCAGGGTATTATTTACTTATTTTGCCTCTTGCTGAACTGATTGATATGTACCTAAGTGAATTAGCTCAATTGACCATATCACTTAGTAAAAACGCAAGAAATAAACCAATAGCGACAAAAAGCACTGATTGAAACCCTAAACCGCAGGTAAAAAAACCGACTTAATTCTGATTTATCTAAATTACTATAAATCTGCTAAATCAATACGTAATTTATAAAATGTACTCAACTTGTTAAGGACTTTAGTCATTTTCTAAGACTTGCGTGGTTGATAACAAGCTCCTCAATACTATTTAAACTGTTTAGCAAGGAGAAAACAAAACAGTTGAAAGGTGGATACTGAATCTAGAATAATTAGCCCAAAAGCTGCTCCTCTAGCCCAAACTAATCAGACTGAATTATAAATTATGAGTTTACTAAAGATTGCTCCTTACTTTACTCGGATAATTTTCATTTGCAAAACAATCGTTGCAATTATTTAATTGAACGCAATTTAGATTTTCGCTGTTGACAACACAGACTTAATGAATATTTTTTGAAAATAAATCGTTGTTATGCGATTCCGGGAATTTAATTCGATTATTTCCATAATCCAACAATTCGAATTATGTGATCCGATAGCTTCAATCGCCAACCAAAAAAACATCATGTTTTTCGCAGCCAATGGAATCGTAATGATCAATAAAGTAACTCGTAAAACTGGGTTCCGGTCCTGTTGGAAACTTTTTCAATTCGTTGTGATTTTGAGCTAGTCGGACGGGTGGATCAAGAGAGTAAATCGAACGCACTCAGGAACCTGTCCATAAGAATGCATCTCTCTAATTCCCAGCCCGGTCCGTCTTGTCCGGGCCGGTTCTTAACAGTTCCCAATAAAAATGCTCCGTTATTTTTGCAGGCTACTCTTTGGTCGGATTTTCTATATTTTTTCTTATTTTATGCCGGCCCATTCGGTTACTGACCTGAGTCAACGTCTACGGAGCGACTATTCGTACATGGGCGCAGACCCAAATCACTTCGGTCTTTTTGGCGGATTTATATTGACTAGGTACTTCCAGTGGCGTGCTTTTGGTTCCTCTACCATGCGTTTTCAAATCCCCAGCTCACATCAGGCTGTTTGTTTTTGTGTCATTGCTAGTAGCACATGTTCTGTGACAATCGCAAGAGCGATAAATTAACGACTTTTAGAGTCGTTTTATGCGGTTCTCCGCTGCACTGATCAACTCAAACGTCGCCATAAGCTTTTAGGTTTTTTTTCGCAAAAGGCCGCCGTTTTCCAAGTCAATTTGGGTCAATACACTTTAAACAAGCTTCTTACTTACTTCCATTATATGTATGTAGGTTCGCTGTATCGGCATGTTAACAAAAACCAAAGGTACCTTTAAATGGTTCCAGCTACTTACGAGGGAATGTTCTGGGTTCCGCTCAAACAAAGACAACGAATCAAATTGGCTAATAAGCTTACAACTGCTGCGAGCAACATTTCTTCCTCGTGTACCGATCGAAATTGTTCGAACTAGAGCGATTTATTATGTGGGTTTTAGACTAAATTTGGTTGTTTTATACCTTGCCCCGACTGCAATCCATAGAAGAAGTATACA